GAGCGCGGCACAATACAACACAACATCTTGTACTGCTTCTAAAACCGTGGATCCCTTGTTGTCCTGCAGTCCGGAAGCAAAAATCAGGTTGACGAGCTCTGGCGCTGCTACATCAACATCATCATCTCCTCGACGCTTCCGCCCTTCACCAGGCTCATCTGATTCCTCGACATCCTCCTGCTGGATTCCTTCACCATCACCATCGGGGGAAGGAGCCCCTTCACGCTCTGAGGGACCTTCATAAACAAAGGCGTCTTCACCTGGTGGTAGGTCCTCTTGAATTTCGCCGGGATCATAGTCCAAACCAACTCCACGTCCATCATCCACGAACGTCTTGGGGATTCGAACCTTGGCAATGAACATATACTTGTGTGGTCTGGGAAAAGCTCCACGTGCATCTGCATCAATCCCGGGAACTTTAAGTGGACCACTAACATCTGCTGACATCACGAAGCAACTGGGATGTTCTACACGAGCATGCCGTCTACCCGTAGCCCCTGCCGTCACGCATGTTGTACAATCTGCCCGATAAGGTAGATGGCCTTTTCTCACGTGCTCTTTCCATTGCTCCGTTGACATTCTCAACATCCGTGGCGCCAACCGCTGGGATCTCACTGCAATAGCTACGACCTCTGAGAACTCCCTTGACCAAACTGATGGTGAAGCCCTTTTTGGGGGAAAAGGATCATCTTGAACTCGACCTTTTAATCCATCTAGATGCCGAAGCGGAAGATTGGTACCAATTGTGGCGTACCTCTCCAGCGCCTTCCCTAAGGAAGACATGTCAAACGAATACGTAGCCAACCCCGCCTCCTCCGCATAGATCTCCCACATAGGCGTCCTCCAAAAACTCACAGAGTCCTGAGCCAGGGGGTGGTTGTAGTTGAGGTAGGATCTAGGGTCACTCGGCTGCTCAATCATCAGACCAACTTCCTTCACATCGCTTGGCTCGGCCGGCCACTTGCACCTTCCAGCCGTAGCTAGGGAATGCAAGTACAGCATCTTAGCGTACATGCCCGTGTGACGGTTGACCAAGTTCTTGTCCTTCTCCGATTGTCCGGGCCACCCGCCATAAACAAAGTCATTGCTGCGAAGTGCTTCTGGTCCAGGGGTCATTGATCGCTTCAACATAAACGCGCCTTGTGAGGGCCCTCCAATGATAGAAGCTATCTTTCCTGACCGCGCACCCCACTCCAATGCTCTCCAAACCAAAGGGTCCCAAACATCATGCGACTTGCCTCTTTCCAAATCCAACTCCAGCACCGTGAATCCCTGGCGCTCTAGGAAAAGGATCTCTTGGTTGACGGTCTTTCCTGCATAGAGGTGCAAGACCCACTGATTTGAACTCCACAGTCGCTTTCGAGTCCGCCTGTTGAGATGCTTCAATCCCTTCAGTGCGTCCCAACCATTCGAACACGGAACTGCTTCTGCAAGTCCATACAGCGCTTCTGGTGGAACACCTTCAAAGAACGGAGCTTCTCGTATGGCCTTCACTGCATCAGAGCCCAGTCCACTGTCACAGTACGACAACAGGTGATCGAACCATGTCTTCTGCATCGAAATGGCTGCCTCCCTCACCTTCGCTCTGGTTTCGCCCGTAGCCGTCTTCAGCGACGCCAACTTCTTTTCTTCAATCTTGGCAATAAGGTCCAGAGCCTGACTCTCCGTGATTTCCGGACAACCATCCCGAACTCGTAGTTTAAGAACGTCACCTTCTCGACATGCACCGACTTCCCGACCATTCTAGTCGATAGCCCAGCATCCCCACCAAAGATCCCAACGGAACAATTGGGGCTGAAGAACTGGACCTTGGCGCTCCAGCACACGGAACCAGCAATGTCCCCGCTTCATTCATTCTGAGCTCCACAGTTTCTCCACCTGCTAAGTTCACAGTAACCCTGTCACCCGCTCGCCATTCTTCCTCCGTTTTGGCTCGTCGAAGAGGATGCGTTGCACCTGAGTCCACGAGCGCGAACACATGCGACCCATCCACTGCTTCTGCTCTGGGAGGGCTCAGGGATAGGACTTTCATCGTTGGGGCTTTCGGCTCAGCTGGTGAGGCGGCCGCAACTTTCGCTGCTGCCTGCAAGAGCGCCTCCCATGAAAGCACCGGTTGCCCATGAAGCACTCCGTCAGCTGCGGCTACAGGGGAAACTTCTCCGTCTGGCTCTAGATGAACTTTATTGACTCCTGGGGCTGCTTTAGGCGACGTAGTGCTTGAAGTCTCACTGCCTCGTGGTTGTTGAGAGGGAGGTTGCTTAGTAGGGCAGTCCTTTTGTCGGTGTCCTTCTGCTCCACAAGTCAAACATCTTCGGGATTTTTCTTGTCTGGATATCCCTTCAAAGGAATGCACAAAGGGACACTTGGCTCCGCGTCGACACCCTCCAGCCTTCAGAAAATATTTGCAGGGTGCCTTTCCTCCCTTTGCTGCTACAGCTGATCCCGAACTTGTAGGAGATGGGGACCCCCCTGTGGTAGTCATTGCCCGTAAAGCAACCGTCCCATCCGAAGACACCGGCCTCGATGCCACAATGTTCTCCACCTCGGCTTGCAGGTGCTGGTGGTACTTGATGATGTCCTCGAGGCTGGGCCTTGCGTCGATACGCAGCGACGATCTCATCATCTGAGTCCTAAACACAGCATCGGGGCTTTCTTCTACACCTTTCATTGCCATGTTCGACAGCCCTCTCGCAAGGATAGAGCCATCCGGGATCGCCATAGACATATCTCTACATCTTTGCAACCAGCGCGGCCAACTTCTCAACAACTTCAAACTTTCATGCACGTCCTTTGGACTGGCCTCACACTGGAGATGCTTTAGCACACTGCTTCTTTCCCCGGCTCCTCCTGGTTGATACAGTGTGAACAACCTGAATAAGAGCAAGACTGTGGATTGGGAAGCTCTTCGGGCGATAAGGTCTGCTTTCACCACCTCACTCAACGACTGCATCAGCAATGCACAAGCGCGGGCGTTTACTCGCACCCACTTCCCCGCTGCCATCTCTACAGATCCTTGGGGTTGCACTTGAAGTCGTTCTAGAGGCGTGGCAGCTAGCCACGTAGCATAAGAGTCCGTCACCGCCTTCTTCACGATCTCCCACCACTTTCCTGAACACATAGACAAGTCTTGCATTGCTGTTGTAACTTGCACCATCCAGTCTTGAAACTTCAAACCACTCATCTCACCCTCCGGCGCGGCAAGCTCTGGCAAACTCATCATAGACGTTTTGACTGTCTCAGGGGTTTCATCACCACCGTCTGTCCTTTGCAGGTTTCGTAGCTGAATATCCTGCAACTGCTTCATGCTTTGTGCCAGTGCCTCAATCACCGACGAGGATGATGCTGAAGGGGGCTCTGGAAGAGCCCGTGACTCTCTCGGGTAGGCGATCTCTGCTGCCGTTCTAGGAGGCGTTGGCTGTCTCGGCTTGGTTTCTGCAGCTGACTTAGGCGCCCCTCCCAGCTTTCCAGAGATCCCTTCCCACAACGAACTCCAAGGATCACTCCTTTGAACAGGTACTTGAACTTCTTCCCCAGCATCCCGAACTCCAACACCAGCACCTGGCCTTCGGAGATCAGGATCACTTTCTGGCGCTGCAAAAGGTCCACGAGGAAGCGGAGGATCTTCTCGATGTCTCATCCTTTCATGGTGAAGTTCTCCCTGAAGTCGCTGATTTTCTCCTTCTACTTCACTTAGCCGCTCCAACAAAGACCCCAATTGCCTTTGCACTTCCGCTTGAATAGCCTCAGCTGGAACACTGCTACTACTCGGAGTGGGTGGCCTTGCTGAGCTGCTGGGTCCTCGTAGCAATCCTACGGAAGTTCCGCCTGAGCGCTCTTCCCCAAAGAGGTTCCTTCGATGTAAAAGCGCTCCAGGAGGTCGAGGTGGCGAAGGAATCGGACTCGGCAGCCACTCCGGTGGAATCGGTGGCTGCTTGAATAACTCGCCAAGCCTGGTCACCCAGCCTGGCCATCCAGGACCCAAGCCTCCAGAATTCCTTGCAGAACCAAAGGCTGGTCCCGTTGATCGTCGTGACCGTGGAGTCTGAAAGCCTCCGCCATCCACATCATCACGCTGAAAATCTGCATCCAGGTGCCCCGGCTGTTCTTCAGTAGGCTGCGGCTGCATCACTGCACTCGCGGCCCATTGTGGACCGATTTGTGTGCCAGTCTGTAGCCCCGCAACACCACCAATACCACCATCCGCACCTTGCTGATGCACTTCTTCAGTAGGGTTCACACTCTGCTCTGGCCGCGCAGAAGGCTGAGCACTTCTCACCTCTGCGTTCATCTGGTCCGTGTGACTGACAAAGGGCAACGGTACGGTCCCCGCTGCCGTTGTATCATCTGCAGGCGCTTGCTCTCTGGGACCCTCACCAGATCCCCTTGGAAGCTCCTCCATCGGCACCACCTTTGGCACTGCCGGAGCTGCGCCATTCACTTGCCCAGCGGTAGCATCTTGGGCGCTCATAACCTCAAAAAGCCAAAAGCAAAGGCTTTTCCTGTATCCACCAGACAGCTCTTACAGCAAACGCATGGCAATCAAGCGGTCGATCTTACTGGGTTTTCACGCACAACAAACGCTGACTCCTTGCGTCTTCTGCAGACGTGCTTACAGCACCTGTCAGATTAGACTACTTCGTAATGGCACTTACCGGCCTTGTTGTAAAAGCTATACACTGTGACATGCTGCATGGCCCAAGACTGTGTTCACGTAGCCTTGTCTTTGATAGCGGCAGCAGACAAAACACTTCACAATCAAAACCTCGCTCATGTACACTCAGCGAACTGCCATGTTCCGACATGAGGGACCAAGGGATTTCTTCACTTATAGTAACCCTTATAGTAACCCTTATGGTAATAAAGTAACCCTTATAGTAACCCTTATAGTAACCGTTATAGTAACCCTTATGGTAATAAAGTAACCCTTATAGTAACGCTTATAGACCCCTTTATAAGGCCCCTTCCATTCCCTACTAAAAACGCGTTCGAGCCGAAGTTGCAGCAAATCGCCGTCCTGGGCGAGTGTGGAGGGTTTAGGGTTTCGGAATTATAGGGTTTAGGGATTATCTAGGGTTCAGGAACATATATATATATATATATATATATATGTATAGGGTTTAGGGATTAGGGGGAAAGAAGATAGGAACATGTGGAATCAGGAACTTTTGGACTTTGTCAGGCGTCGAAAGGGTTTATGGAGAATGCTCCCGAAAATGAACTGACATGGTCGCCCAGCTCAGAATGGCAAGCCTAAGCGGACGAGGGGATCCCAGGGTTCCTTGGATGCACCTAGCACGGAATTGATAGGAATTCTTCCTAAGCCACAGCGGACAAGACTAGAGCTACAGCAGGACCCGGCGCTGTACATAGAACCCCGGAGTACCCAGGAACCTTCAAGTAAGCGTCACAAAGTCACAGGGTGTGTCTCAAGGCATTCAAGGATGACGCAAAGAACTCTTTGAGTGGGCACTCAGGTTATAAGGCTTACCCTAGACCCACCAACTATCCTCTATTACCCTAAACACTCGACTATTACGGACCATGGGGGCTCCAGTAAAGGGCAGTTGGGGGTTCTGGAAGCTCTATAGTCTATAGGTTTAGCTTCCTTCCTTGAGCACCTGGACATGGTGGGAAGCTTCGCCCTTGTAGCCCCAAGCCCCGAAGCAAAGCCTGCAACTTGATCGCCCGGTTTCTGGGTTTAGGGTTTACGGGGGTTTGGGGTTTAGGTTGAGAGGCTTGGAGCCCAAGCCCCAAAACAACAACAGCCCTGAATCCTATGCCCTAGACCCTAAACCCCAAACCCTCTAAACCTTGAACCCTAAACCCTAAATCCCTAAACCCTAGACCCTAAACCCCAAACCCCCAAATACCCCAAACCCTAAACCCTAGACCCTATAGACCGTGAACCCTAAGACGTAAACCGAAGCCTCTTGAGTCCAAGCCACTTGCAGACCGAAGCCCTCAGGGCAGAACAGAACGAGGGGTTTAAGGTTTGGGCCCCTCATTGAAACTTCCGAAACCCTACACCCTAAACCGCTTATATACTCTGAAACCAGAGACTATGTCTAACCAAGGGTTTTTGGGGTGTTCGGAGCTCCTTCTGCGAGCTGATCTAGGGCTTTTGGAATTGCGGCTTTCAGCAACTAAGTGAAGCTCTATCGGGGAACAGTAGCAATAACGCACGTTTCATTCAGGCCCATACATTACGGGACTTAAAGCGCAGGGGGGTTTGGAATTCTGGTGCTCGGCTGGGTTCTGAGCCCTGGCAAATCGCAAATGCTAGAATCTATATCATATCACACATATATATATATATATGTACATATATGTATATATATATATATATATTATACTTATACGATACTATTCTATTATAGTGTACTATATTATATCATATTTTATATCTAGACCTGGGACCGAAGCCTTAAAGCCAAGACTCCGAACCATGAACCCCCAACCCCACCTATAGATCCCTTAAAGGAGCCCTATAGGTATTCCTTAACTAAGGGGATCAGGAGCTCCCCAATTCTAATTCCCAGACCCCAAACCGAAAAGCCCGAAACCCTAAGTAAGTTTATAGGGTGTTTAAGGTGTAAGCTTAAGCCCCTATAAAGCCCAAACCCTGAACCCCAATTGGGCTTAAGGCTTAGGAGGAAAAGCCCTTAAAGCCTAAAGCGGATTTTTTTTAAAGCCCTAAAGCCTAAAGTTAAAGCCGGCTATATAAGCCCTAAAGCCTAAAGCCGAAAGCCTAAACCCCAAAACCCTCAACCCCTAAACCCCAAACCCTATAAGCCCTAGGCAGGTCGCCTTCAGAGGGCCGTTTCCCTGAAGGACGTCGCCCGAGGACTTGATGAGCTCCACGCTGCCCGCACTGAGCTCCTGGAGGTCGGCGGAGGGTTTTCGGGTTTAGGGGGTTGAGGGGGCTTAGGGCTTCAGGGCTTAGGTTTCAGGGTTTTTTTTTTGCTCCTTTTTGATGCCTGCCAGGTAATGTTTAGGTTTTAGGGTTTAAGCTTTACGTTTCAGAGTTTCGGGCTTCCGGGTTCGTGCTTGTCAACTTGTAGCTTCTAGCGCCACCCAAAATATACTCGAGATTTGTAGCAAACCCGGATTCAAGAGCGCTTTGTTCTTTGGGGTGTCCAGGGCTTCCGGCGAGGGTGCTGAGTCCCTGGAGCAGAAGATAAACTCCGAATGACACACGCCTTAGAGGCTTTCAACTCCAAACTCTTCGCCCTGCTGGGTAGCACCTGCCTTTAAGGTACCCAAATTCCGGGGCCAAGGACTTTCCTGTGAATCTAACGGTTTCTGCTACCTGAATCATCCTAAAGACCTACTATCCGCGCAGAAGGGCCCAGAAACCTGCAAGGGCGAAGCCCCGAGCCCCAAACCCGAGAACTCCGAAGCCCTAAACCTCTGAAGCTTTGAAGGAACCCCCCCCAAAAAAAGCCCTCAACCCTCAACAGGGAACCCTTAAAGTAAAGCACCCCTACCCAAGGAACCCCAAAGCCTTCTCTTGGACCCTTGAGCCCTAAAGCCCGAAGCCCCGGCGCCCTCCAACCACTAAAGCCTGAAAGGAACCCTCGAAGGAGCCCCAGAGCAATGACTATAAGGATCCCGATGCCTTCTCCAGATGGAACCCCAAATGACACTAGACCCTTACCTGGACCCCAAAACTATGTAGAATAACAGCCTTTTAGACCTAGAAGGAACCCTTGAAGTAAAGGACCCCTCCATGCCTTCTCCACTCTCCAGCGAAGCTCGGCTAAGCCGGCGTTGGCAGGCAGCCGGAGGTCCAGGCTGCGGCCGCTGACGAGGCAAACCTAAAGTTGAGGGCTTTAGGGAGTTTATAAGGTTTTATAGGGTTTAGGGTTTTAGGGTTTATAGGGTTTAGGATCTACGGTTTAGGGTTTACGGTTTAAGGTTTATAGATCTTGCAAGGGTTGGGGGGCGGGGCGTGCCTAAGTAAGTTCCATGCGGTTGCAGAGTCAACGGTGCGTGTAGAGACCTAGGAAATTATCTCTTTGGAATGCAGGAGTACTGGGGACTCTATTGTTCATAAGGCTCTGGTTCATAAGGTCATAAGGGTTCCAGGTGGCTCTCTTGTTCATAAGGTCTTAAAGCTTCCAGGGGCTCTATGGCTCAGAAGGAGCTCTAGGTGGTTCATAAGGCTCTCTGGTTCATGAGGTCCTAAGAGCTCCAGGTGGCTCATAAGGTCATAAGGGTTCTAGGGGCTCTATGGCTCAGAAGGAGCTCTAGGGTTCGTAAGGGCTGAGATCTTAGAGCTTAAGATGCTGATGATACTCTCGTAGTCGACCCAGCTAGCGATGCCCCAAAGCGTCCTAAGTACCTGTAGTAGAATGCAGCCTGTCTATTATTTTAGGAAGTACTATAATGATTTAGGGAAGTATCCCCCCCTCCCAGTACCTAGGACCGTTTGGGTTTGCGGTCGGGGATGCCAAGCTCACTCAGAGGTGCGAAGTACCTATATTATCCGTTGTAGCTCCCTGTTTTGGTTAAGCAAACTGATATATAGGATCCTTAACATAAACTTGGTTAACCAAATAAGGGAACTTCAATGGTCTTAGTTTGCGGTTTCGGTACCAAAGCAGCCGCGGTCCTGGAATTTGTGGTTTAGGGGTAGCGGTGCAAAGCTCTGGGGGTTCTGAATCTTACGCTGCTTGTTCGGAAGAGCTTTGCGAGTTTAAAGCCGTGAGATTACGGACATCGGCTTCAACCGACAAAACTACATGCGCCGGGATGTCCTGGTACACTCCAAAAGGGTCCTAAGTAGTCACATAATAGGAAGTAGGGTTTCTATACTAGGAGTAGCTAGTTACCAGTATGGTTTGGGGAATTTCCCCCAATAGGTACTTAGGATCCTTTCGGAACCGTTTGGAAGAGACCTCTGCTCCAAACCGTGATGCTGTGGCTTTAAATGGCTGGCACGCCATACCAACAAATACTGAAACTCAAGCTTGTGCTTTACACTCATGAATACATACTATTGCATGTGATGTAACAGAACATGTGCACCAGTTTGAACCGTCGAGTCAACACACCAATACCAAGTTAAGCTGAACCCTAAGCCAAGCGCTGAACGCTCAAATCTGTCATCGCATCCAGGGGGCATGGAGAGACAGTTGCGGGCTCCGGTTGCTGCGATCCGAGCCGGCTGGGACTGCACCTGCGGGAAGGGACAAAAACCTTCTTTATCGCCGAAGGCATGACAGATCTGGATCATCAGCTGCATCGACTACAAAACCCTGGCAAGGACTTTTGACATCGTGCCCTGCATCCCCAACTTCCCAAACCTACACTTCCTGGAAATTTGACTTTGGTTTGCCCCTCAACTCCGAAAACCAATCATACCCACAACCCGGCTGCACACCCACACCTTGAAAACATACACCATAAACACGTAATCCTAGCCCTGAATCCTACAATCCCGAAGACAACATCAGTACAACTCTGAAACAAGCACCACGAAGCCTAAAAGCAGTCAACCCCCCCAAGCAAGCCAAATCCTGAATCTTAACATGACATGGCCGGGAGGGCGAGTAACACTAGTGGCGAGAGCATCCAAGTATTGCGGCAAAGAGAAAGCATAAACTCTAATCCCGTCAGCGCCTGCTGTGCCGACGTCGGCTTTGGCAGCGTGGGAGCACGGGGCTGTCGGGGCCTGGACAATTCGCGACTCGAGGTTGTATGTAGACAGGTTAGGGCCATGTCTGCTGCATAGGCTGAGGTTTGGATAAGCCTAGGTTTGGAGTGTTTTGGATTTATATTACTCGTGCCTGCAAAGTAGACAAAACAAGATTTCTGTCGTAGGAGTTACTATTGTAGTTTGGGTAGGTATCCCGGACATAAGTACGTTTGACCCTTTGGGTTGCATCACCGAGCTTACGATTGGGTGGGGTATGGTGGGGTTTTGTTCAAGCTCAGGAATCGCGCAACACTCAACTCTCAGAAAGTCGTTGTTTATAGGGATTAAGCTCCATAACGGAATTTTTCAACTTGAAAGCACCCGCAAACCAACGATTCTGATAAGGCCCACGTACATCGCCAAAACGATGCTCGGCAACGCAGTTAGATCCCTTCACCCCCAGTTACCCCCCAACAGTGAAACCCTGTACTCTGGCCCCCAAAACCTTTACACCGAAATGTCAACATTTGGGACCTAAATAAGGGCCCAGCACCCTTCGGCCTTGTGGGGCCTATACCCCGAACCCCCTGCCTAAAGCCCTAAACCCTCTAAGCCCTAAGCCCAATGCTCTGCCGGCCTTCTTCTTCTTCTTCGGCGCTTTCTCTGAAAAATGCCTGAGATCAGCGCGGAGCTTCGAAGCAGACCCTAACCCTAGGCCCCCGGTTATACCCTATAGGGCCCCGGTTCATTAAATAGTAAGCTGAGTATACCCCGTAATTCAGGTTACTGGAGCCCTAGGGTAAGGCTGCGAAGACCATCCATGGGCTCTTTTCTGGGGTGGCCTCCAAGACTTTGGGAAGATCTTGCAGGTTCGCATGTGGATCTTTAGGGGGTTTGCGGTTAGCAGATGTTGAAGCTTATGGATACATGAAATACCTACTGTTCTGAACCTTTCCGACGACCCAAACCCGAAAGCCTGCTTACATCCTAGACCAAAAGACCGTAAACCCAAACCGAAACCTAAACCCTAAAATTCAAAACCCAAACACTAAGCTTGAGTCAGGGAACATGTAGTACAACAAAAAGAAACGTACGCTTACACACTAAGCCCCCAACCTATAATCCTTCGGCCCAGCGTCACAGGGAAGATGCCCGCAAGGGCTTCAAGGGAAAATCGCAGCACTCGCAGAAGAAAGTAAAGGCCGAAGATCCTTGGAATAGAGTCTTAGGATTTTAGGGCTTAGCGGGTTTCTTGGGTTTAGGGCTTTGAGGTTTGGGGTTTTAGTGGCTTACAGCTTATACAGATTGACTTTGCTAGAGGGTTTTTAAGAATTTTGAATCTGGGATTTCCGGGTTTAGTGCTTTGGCTTTTTTCTCGACCCCCTTGTGGTTTGGGTATGGGCGATGCTGGTGCTTATAGTTAGAGGGGACGCCAAACTTCACGGTCCCCACACGCTGGAACACTGACGCCCAGACGTCAACCCACATGGGTTGAGGATGATTCGTAGTGCTTGAATTCCCACTGATTAGGGTGTAGGGTTTAAGGTTTAGGGTTTACATGGACCCCAAAAGTGTGTAGAAGAGTCGCCTTTTACAGGTATTGGGCCAAATTTACCTACTTTTGGGGGTAGACGTCAACCCACAACCGTTAACTCTAGAGCGCCTTACCCATAGGCCCCATAGTAGTTCCTTTTTGGGCTTTTGGGGATTTCTATAAGGCAGTCCCAAAAAGGAACTCCTTTGGGTCTGTGGGTAGTTCACACTTCGAGCCCTAAGCCTAAGCGCCCCAAAACTGGAAGCTCTGACTCGTGCAGACCAGACCCCCCAGCTTGTGTGGCTAATCTTGGGTACGGCCCCCACTCAGTAATAGTGACTATAAGGATTATATTAGGGCCCTATTATATTCCTACTGTTGATGGACAAAATCCTGCATGACCTTAAGGACCCTAAATTATGGGTATTATGGTATATTCCTTACAATGGGTAATGCAGGCTTTTGTCCATCAACAGTATTATACCACTATTACAGGGTGGGGGCCCCTTCTAAGGCTGAGCTTGCGTGGCTACTCAAAGGCCCCAAAGTAATTCCTTTTGGAGGTTCGTATATAGAATCCTATAGGGTAATCCCAAAAAGGACCTACTTTGGGGCCTCTGGGTAATCTTATGTGTCCATTTCGGGCTTCAGGATTTATAGGGTTCGGGATTTAGGTACAGGTTTCGGGAATGATTCGTGGACAGTTTGGCCATTTAGGGCTGAATTGGGGCTTTACGGCCGGAGGGCATCATGGGGGTTCGTAGGGCCTTTAGGGTGATAGTGCTAGGGTTTTGGGGCATGCAGGCGTGGAAAGGTCAAAAGGCACAACTACACCAATGCTGACCCGAAAGCTCCACACCTGAACCCCTGAACCCTAAACTCTGGGGTTTTGGGTTCAGGGGTTTCGGGTTCGGGGGGCCCTAAACCCGAAAACGAGGGTGCTTTCGAGGCATCCTGGCAAAGATCTTGGCTCGAAGTCTTGAAGAAGGGTTCCGGGTTTAGGGATTACAGGGTTTAGGGCTTAGGGCTTGTAGGGTTTAGGGTTTAGGGAAGCTTAAGTTTACAAGGTAATGTAGAATTACAGTGCTTCTGGCTGCTGTTGTCTGCAGCGGAGGGTTGACTGCTGCGAAGACTGCCGGGCCATATAAGTGCTTCGATCATTACAATAGGGTCTCGGGGGTATACTATAGTATACTATTAGTATACTATAAATATACGATAGTATACTATAGTATATATACTATAGTATAATCTCGCATACGAGGGGCCCCTTAGGAATAATTTCGGTAACCGTCTCCGTCATTGCGTATACAGAGGAGTCCCGGCTTCTCCGGCTGCCCCTCCTTGACATAGCCTAGTATTCTTCCTGCTCCCCTCGGTGGCTTTTGCAGTTTCCCTACCCTCCACAAGATGCTTTAGAGGAGCTCGAACCAAATCAGCATTGCAGCCATCTGCAACAGCTGGCACGTCTACTCGCAAGACGCGGCCAGATGGCTCGGCATGTGGAAAAAACTGCTACGTAAGCTCCCTATAGCTGTCTTGCAGGTCCATGGCGCCTGGGTGAGGAAAGTCTACTAAACCTCATAGACCCTAAACCGACCCTAAACCCTATCCTAAATCTGATAGATCCCAAACGCTAAACCCTATACTTAACCTTATATACTTATATACACCCTAAATGGGCATTCAGATTTGAGTCGCTCCTGATCAGTTAAGCTGGAACCCTCAACTGCTGCCGGAGTTTACTTTGTTCAGTCGCTCCTGAGCTCTAGACTCGACGCCCTAAACTCAATCCTAAACGCCGAATCCTAAACTCTAGACTCCGGATTGCTGCCAGGTCCTAATACTAAACCCCTAAACCCTGAACTTTCTGCTTGGAGTTGTAGCGATAGCCGAAACGACTGCAAGGGCAAACTTGCAGCAGCAGTGAAGAAGCTCGGCATGCTCAAACTCAGGCAACACCCGTTAAACCTCCCTGAAACCTAGAAGTCCTTTTAGGGTTTAGGGTTTAGGGTTTATAAACCTCCCTGAACCCTAGACACCCTAAACTCCGTGCTCCACGGAACTTGACCTTCATTCATTGTTCCATGCCTGATGATAATCTTGGAACATATATAATATATAAATTCAAGCACCATCAAGCCCGATTCTGATCACTAGGTCACTAAGGTTCCTAGTTTCAGGCGACATGCAGATTGTAGCCCCCGGAAAAGATGGCGAATCCTTTTGCACTCATGTGCCTTCGAGAACCCTGCCCCCGACCTCGAACCAGGACCCCAGAACCGACGCCCTACTACTGCTACTGCTACTGCTACTACTACTACTACTACTACTACTACTACTACTACTAGTACTACTACTACTACTACTACTACTACTACGACTACGACTACGACTACGACTACGACTACTACGACTACGACTACTACTACTACTACTACTACTACTACTACTACTACTACTACGAGCCAAAAGGATACCCAGACCTTCCAAAATCCCTGAATTAAGGAATATACCGTAAATTGTAGTAGGATCCTTCATATGATTTAAGGTATATTCCATAATTAAGGGATTTTGGAAGGTCTGGATACTGCCGGGACCGGGATCTTCGGAAGCCCAGGCCGAGGCTCGGCCTTCGCCAGGACCACCGTAATAGGAGCTGAACCCTAAAGGTTGTGTTTTTACGAATATAATATATATATATATATATATATATGTATATATATATATATGTATATATATATATACACATATTTACACCCTGAACCCCTGCACCCTAAACCTGTCCCAACGACATAGCAGGCAACAGCGTCTTTAACCCACCTCCGCTGCCACATGGAGAAGACTTGGTCGAGCTCCGCCCTACCGGGTTCTGAAGACAAGATGTAAAGTTGGGTACTTCAGGGTCTTAGGGTTTAGGGTGAACTGAAGGGGCTCATTTTTTGGTTTGTGGGCTGTTTGAAGGATTTATGACGAGTTTGTTCAACTAGTGAAGGTTGTTCTAGTGTTTTTGTTGGATTCACAGGCCTAGTTTGATGATTGTAAGGCATTCAGGGTAAAGGTTCGTTAGGGAGAAGTCTTTGAGCTTTTGGTGTACTTTGAGCCCTGGGGTTTAGTGTCAATCCCTTGAGATCAGTCCGCCGGCAGGTCAAACGCTTCCGAATGTACGCAGGCACAAGTGTTCGAACCGATGGAAAGAAGGCCGGAGTGCTGCCTTGCTTGTAGTTTTAGATTGGTAGCGGAGCAGGTGCTCCAGGGGTTCAGCTAGCTGCGATGTCGACCGCTGATGCTACGAGTTTTGTGTGGGGTCGTGAACCTGCTGCTCGTGATGATTCTGCGCAAGAAGATGGTGCTGGTGATGTTTCCCAACACCCTGACGCCGGTGCTGTTCCTGTACCACCTTTTCGTAACGGACGTGACACAGCAAGCTCGGGGCATGTGCCTCCTCCTCCTGCCAACGGAGGGCCTTCGAGGGTCGAAGCCGACCCATGGGATCAAGCTGATCCCTGGCAGAGTGGAGCCGGGCGTGACGCCTGGTGGGGCCACTCATGGGGAAATCGAGACGGGTGGTCTGGTTATGCTTGGGGAAATGGCAACCATGACTACGCGTCCCGCCGGAGCTCGAACGCTTGGGGCCGCCATTGGAGCCAAGGTGATACGTGGACCACGGGCTCTACAGGCACAGACTCCGTCAGTGATCGGCGTCTTCAAGAGGACCAAGGACTACCTGACGATCATGAACTACCTCGTCACGACCACCGGGAGCCTAACGGTGGAGGCTCAGGACCTTGGGCGGCCGGTGACCTCCCGAACGGCGTGAAGACTACCAGTGCGGCCACGGCTCCACCTGCGGAGCGAGGCCGCGGACCATCAGAGAAGATGATTGTCCCAACCTTCACGGGTGGCGTGGAGGCTGGAGCAGATGACCTTGGAGCCTCGGCGAGAAGCTACTTGAGGCAGGTGGCTGCCTGGCGGAAGATGACCCGCCTTTCGGCGGATCAACATGGATTGGTCCTCTACCAGAACCTTTCCGGAAAGGCCTGGATCGATGCGGAGAGATTGGATGTGGACCGTTTGGGCCTAGAGAACGGGGCGGAGTACTTCGTGGAGTGGATTCGCGAGCGCTACCTCGACGTACAGATCACTCAGATTGGGAGAAGTTTGAGTGACTTCTTCCGGAAACTCCGGAGACGCGACGGGCAGACAGTCCGGGACTACCTCAGCGACTTCGATCGGGCTTTGGCCCGTTTGACCGAGTGCGGATGCAGCTTGCCGGACATGGCTTCGGCCTGGGTCTTCGTGGACCGTATGGGCTTGGAGGAGTCTGCGGAGCTCAACTTACTGGCGAGCGTGGGCAACGAGTACAACTTGAAGCGCTTACAGCAGGCGGCGATAGTCCAGGACAGGTCCTTGCGAAAACCATGGGAAAGCTCTACGAGATCCTCTTCAAGGGATTCTGCTGCCAACGGAGGACGAGGGCCTCGACGTGAATGGTGGAACAAGAAGGGGCCCAACACCACCCACCTCACCGAGAACGGCGACTACGAGGAGAATGGCGACGTTGACGGCGGCAACGGGGACCTCGACCAGGACGACCTGGTCCCGGAGGAGATCGCGGAGGAATGGTACGAGACCTTCATGACGCACGAGACGGCCAAGCAGAAGTACAAGAATAGCCTACGACAAAGAGGCACCGACAGCGAAGCTCTCCGAGAACTTGCCAACGATCGGTTGGCACAGGCGAAGGCCAAGAGCTTTTGCGCAGGCTGCAAAAGACGCGGCCACTGGCACAAGGACAGCTGCTGTCCCCTGAACCAGGGGGCCAAGAGGAATGGAGACTCGAACCACGGAGGCGACAAGGGCGCTGGAGGCCAGGGCGGCAACGGAAGCCAAGCCAAGACCAACTACCAATGCAGCGTCGTCTACGTCACCTGGGATATGGGAAAGCCCACCGATGCCAGTTACCTGATGGCTATCACGGACACCGCGTGTAGCAAGTCTGTTATGGGGGCGAGCTGGTTGGAATCCTACCTCACCGAAGCGGCCAAGGTGAACCACAAGCCCCAGTTCGTGAACATCAACGAGAACTTCAAGTTCGGCGCCTCGCGGATCTTCGAGGCCGGCTACGCAGTGATTGTCACTTTCGCTTTGAAGCAAGTGGTTGTGCAAGCCAAAGTGGCCGTTGTGCAAGGAGATGTACCCCTCCTCCTCTCAAGGGGCGTCCTTGCGAAGCTGGGAACCGTGTTGGATGTTGCCGAGAACACTGCCGACTTCAAGTACATCAATGTGCGAGGGTTCCCTTTGAAGATCACCGATACTGGACATCCGGCTGTGCCTTTTGTTCCCATCAGACCACCTGTGTCTGGAGAGGCCCGAAAGGACTGGGCACAGGAAGACCTTGTGATTCTCAATTCCGAGAGCGCCTACACAGGGGTTACGCAACCACATCCTGCTGTTCATACTGTACATGTGGCCGATAGTTGTAAAGACGGAGAATGGAAAGGGTCCCAGGCTTCCAACACTCCCGAGAATCACTTTGACGAGCACACCAGCCCTAAACCACATCCTCGGGATCAAATCTTTTATCCTAAGAAGCTCGGCAAGGCCATCCTCAACATGCTCAGCGAAGATGTGTTGAATGTCAATGCTTTCATGACATGGTGGGAACAGACTAGAGTGACCAACGACTTTTGGATAGAGTCCAAGGATTTCCTCGTGAGAGTGCACGTGATACCCAGACGTCGTTTCTTCAGTCCCTCAGGTTGGAAGGAATGTGGGCCATTGAAAGACAAGCTCCTCGATGCATTAGGAAGGGTCCGTAGTACCACAGGGATATCGTGCAAATCACATCGGGCTCTTGTTCCTGTCCACGGTCCTTGGGGCTCTGCTGATGAAGATCAATATCCTGTGTTGTGGGTCGGAAGAAGCTTGTTTGCTAGACGCCCGAGACCTATGCAATCCCTACCGGCCTCTCTTGGTCATGTCGGCGCCTCCTGCGAACCCTCCAACACCTCTTCCTCGCCCTTTGTCAGCGGCGAAGTCGATATGGAAGTGGACTCGCCAGGAGCTCGTCAACGAGGCTCTCCGGGTGGGGATCACGATCCATCCAAAGTGGACCGTGCCAGAGATCAGGAGCGTGATTATGGAACACCGGGCCGAGGTCGCGGTCACCAGTGCGGACGCCCCTCCGAAGCCGTTGTCCGGCATGCGACTGGACGAACTCAAGGAGACTGCGATGCTACACGGAGTGGAGCTGCCAATGAAGGTCACCCGAGGACAGGCGATGAGACTCATCCGCGATGCGACCGAGGACATGAGCACCAAGGTGATGGCTTTCGGGAGGTATCGGGGATGGACCTTTGCCGAGACCCCGGAACAATACCAACAATGGGCAGTCGCGGAGGTGGAGAGGTCGGCCAATGCCAGCGAGGACTTGAAGATGTTCGCCAATTGGGTACGCAACAAGGGGGTCGCCGGGAGGAGCTCCTTCACCTACGACCCGAGCTTGGATCCAGAGTTCAATGCGACGGTGCCCTACGAGCCCTCGGAGGTGGATTCGACGAGCTGGGGAATGGTGTCCCGAGCGGGCTACCGAGCGGAAAGAGGAACTTCATCGGCGAACTTGGTGCTACCCACGGCAAAGGCAAGGGCCCCACCACCAGCGCAGGGAGCCATACCACGACTACCTCCCCGACAACGTCAGCTCGAGGAGACGGACAGCATCAGCTCCATGGACCACGAGGCCGGGAACGAGGCACTGGACGAGATCAAGAAGTTGGAGGCACGACTAGCAGTACTCAAGGATCGCCATGGGATTCATCCCGGGAGAATGTGAAGGACAACGCCAAGACCGATGCGGACCTTGACACCAGGAACTACCAGGGCCAGGAAGATGGAGCGCAGCGTCACGATCAACTCCATCCTCCATTACACGATCCGGAACTACCTGTTCGAGGACCAGAAGATCAGCTCCATCCTCTACACGATCCTGAGCTACCTGTTCGAGAACCAGATGATCAGCTCCATCCTCTACACGATCCTGAGCTACCTGTCCCTAGTCCACAAGTACCACAGGGCGACGCTCACGACGTGGCATCCGTTCACACCCAGGACCAAGGAAGGACTCGGCATGAGAGAACAGACCCAAGACCGATCTTCGTCGAGATCTACGCGGGGAACGGAGGACTGAGCAAGGCCATGAGTCTCTTCGGCTTCAGGACGGTGATGATCGATCTACCCGAGTGGGATCTTGTTCGTGTGGATCGCCGCAGAGATCTACTACGACTGGTCGCGAACCTCAACCCAGATGTCCTATGGTGCGCGCCTCCTCAGAAGGACGAGTTATGCCATGGAGGTACCAAGGAGATCCAGGAGGCCTACCACGACGTGATAAAGAGGCTTTACCAACAGCAGTTCCAGCGGAACCTCGTTGGAGTCATTGAACTCCCCAGGTCTTCCCCCACGTGGAAGGCTGATGGTTTCGACGCCCTGGACGGCTTCCCCGTCTTCCTTGAGGAGTGCGCCTACGGGTCCTACGTCCTCGACTCACACGGGGAGGCGATGAGGGCCAAGCGGGAGACGAAGCTACAGGTGACGAGAGAGGAGATCGGGACGATGCTCTCTAGGCGCTGTCCAGGTGATCACGTACATGCTCCGGGGCATCTCCTCCGGAACTCACGTGGGACACCAAAGGGAAGGCGACTGTACCGGGAGAAGTTCTGCTATGATGTGGCCCAGGTCTTGGCCGAGAGCATCGGCAATTTGCTCGAGGACTCCATCCCCGACTACGAGAACCACCCGAACCGGAAGGCTACAAAAGACAAGACCAAGGACGAGAGCAACGGCGTTGCCGAGGCCATTGCGAAGGAGGCCCTGACCAAGAAGGATTTCTCATACCGCGCTCTCCTTCAGATCACCACCCGTCTCAATCTCCCGGGAATCGCGAACAACAGGACAGCCAACACTGGAGGTACGGGCACTCCAACGGGGATCATATGTGGACTTTGGGTACATGGAGGAGTACACGGTATCACTCGGTCTTGCGAAAACTTCCCCTACGTCGTCAAGTACATTAACAAGTTTGCCCGGCACCATGGTGTCCAAGGTTGGACCTCCTTTTCGTTGGCCAGAAATCTACAGACTACTATTCACCGCGACCCGAACAACCTCAGTGGATACGACAGCGTCACCACCACCTTCGGCGACTTCACCGGAGGAGAACTATGGCAAGTGTGCGATCCTGACGATGCGAGTGAAGACGTTGTGTGGCACGATGGCATGGCTGGCCTCACGGTGAATACCAAGGAGAGACTGGTGGCCTTCGACTCGCGTGAACTACATGCAACGAGGCCCTGGAAGGGAGACCGCTGGTGCCTCACCTGGTACATCTCCAGAGCAGTCCTCAAGACCACCCTGGAAGAACGTGATGCACTACGAGCGCTCGGTTTCCCCATCAATTCGTTGGCCAACCGGAAGAAACCCAAGTTCGATGACCATGGGCGTGGCGAGTTCATTCGGTGGCCCGAGAAACGAAGACCGAGGAAGAGCACCCGTACGCAACTGTGGAAGATGGCAAAGAGACTCAGTACTTTCGCGACATGGTCAATCTTGGCTACCACTACTCTACTTGGTCTCACGGAGCCTGCGGCGGGACACAACAGCGTTCTCGAGGTTGCAAACACTGAGGTCGAGAATGTCCCCGCCCTCTTCGAGATCGGAGGCATGGACCAAACGCTACAGGCCACCGCCCTGGGAATCGACACGATCGAGCCAATGGTGAAACTTGACCTACGACAACCGCGAGACCTTCACCAAGTCAAAGATCTTCTTCAAGAACTACGACCGCGAAATCTATGGGTGAACGGAGACGAACTCCACGACACCACGGGGCTGTCTGAGGTGTTCAAGTTGCAGGAGAGTTTGGGTGGCCGCGTCACATTGGATGGCAAACTTGGTGGCCCTTTGTGGAGCTCAGATTTCGGCAACACCATCTACCAGAGAGCCGGGACCCTCGTGAAGTACAAGAAGGGACGCCTACAGGTGCACCTTGGCAAGGACACAGCCCCCGCCGAGGAAGAGGAACTCTCCACTTCAATGGACCCCGACAAGGCGAAGAACCTCCTCGAGAAGTACCTCCTCAAGCAGGCCTCCAAGGACCCTGAGGGTGACTATGAAGTCAAGGAGAATTTTCCTGTCGAGGCACAGAACCGCGCAGGTGCACAGCCCGAAGAACCGAGCTCACGAGGAGCTTCAGCGATCAACTTCAAAGGAGCTCAGCCCAAACCAGAGGTGGCCTCAGCTCTCCGGAGGCTACACCAGAATTTGGGCCATCCGGCCGTCGCCGACTTGACCCGACACCTCCGTCTCGCAGGAGCAGGACCTGAGGTTATAGCCGCTGCCAAGAACATGACGTGTGAAGTATGCCGGAGAGCTCAAGGAGCAAAGTCGCCCAAACCCGCGGCACTACCCACCACGACCTCCTTCAACGAGATCATCGGCGTGGATGCTTTTACCGTCTACGACTGCAATGGGGAGAAGCTTGAGATGTTCTCCATCTACGACTACGGTACGTCGTATCACCTTGTCGGCGAACTACCTGGACACTCAACGGAGGCCATGGAGCAAGCACTATGTGACCTATGGACGAGGGTGTTCGGACCGCCAAAGACCATCCTTGTCGACCTGGAGTCCGGTCTACAAGCCGGACTGGAAAGGTTCGCCTCCTGGTTTGGCAGCCGTATACGGAGTGCCGCCGGACAAGCACCATGGCAGGTTGGGGCCGTAGAACGACACGGAGGAGTATGGAAGCACATGTGGCGCAAAGTAGTTGATGAGCACTCTATCACCAAGGATGCCCCTGGTGATGTCAAGCTTGGGATCACGGCTATCAATGCCGCCAAGAACGAACTTCGTCGTCTTGGAGGCTACAGTCCAACCCAAGCCGTCTATGGCAGGGATCCCGATGTACCTGGTGAACTACTTGATCACCGCGATCCCCAACAAGTTGATGAGATTCTCACACGTGACCAACTACGAGCGCGAGAACACACCCTCCGGCAGGCGGCTAGGATCGCCTACCATCGGGCACAAGTGGACTCAAAGTTACGAAGGGCCCTTCTCCAGAGGAGCAGGGTGGCCGGGGAAGATCTCAACCCCGGGGACATCGTCTACTTCTTCAGGAAGCCCAAGAACAAGAAGGACTGGAGATGGGTGGGCCCAGCCACCGTTGTGGGGCACGAGAAGAAGAACCTATGGGTGGCCTCCTCTGGGAGGTGCCATCTTGTCGCCCCTGAACACATCCGGAAGGCCACCGGAGAAGAGTTGGGCGATCTGTTTACGCTCAGGACGACACAGGACGACCTCCATCGACTTCTTGATGAAGAGCCCAGCGACCCACAAGTTTTCGAGTACCCTGCAGAGCTGCCCGACGATGTGGACGTTGATTTTTACCTTCCTTCTGGAGACGAAAATGGACTTGATCTACCTGAAGACGAAGTCATGCCAATGGAAGGTGAAAGACGACGAGGACTACCAGGAGAAGGTCCCCGCGCCGTGAGCAAACGTTACCGTGTCAAAGGACCTGAGGAAGGACATGAGGTGAAGACGGTGCGTTTTGGGTTCGACGAGGACACCTACCGAGTCGGAGACCATGGCCACGAAACTCCGACTACCATGCCGGCAGGAATCCTGAAGAAGGCCCACTCCGTGCCGGACGATTTTGACTTCGAGGAGACCTACAGCGACCACGAGAACGCCCAAGTCGACGAAGTCTACATGGTGAAGCGAGCGATCACGGAAAGGGGCAAGCAGAAACAGTTGGAGAAGGAATTGCCATGGAGTTGTATCCCGGACGACAAGAAGGATACCTTCCGAGCTGCTGAACGACAACAATGGCAAGAACACTTGGATCACGACGCTGTGGAACCGGTCAGTGTGGAGGAAAGCCGACGAATCCTCCGTGAGAAGCCGGAGAGGGTGTTACCCTCCAGATACGCCTACAGAGATAAAAACTGGAGCAAAAGGAAGAAGGATCCGGCCCTGGACTGGAAGCCAAAGGCCAGGCTCGTCATCGGGGGCCATTTGGATCCTGATCTTCACCTTGGACTCCAGACATCGGCGCCTACGGTGTCCAGGCAAGGGATCTTGCTCCTTCTACAGATCCTTGCCTCAAGGCTTGAAGGGGACTGAACCGCCTCTGCGGGCGACATCACAGCAGCCTTCTTGAATGGCAAGGGCCTAAAGCGTGAGCTCTACATCCGCCAACCGCGCTCGGGGCTCGGCGACCTTCACCCTGAACAATTGGTCAAGCTGACCAAGGGAGTGTTCGGGCTTGTCGACAGTCCTGCTGCCTGGTGGGGAGAGTTCAAGGGGACCCTGGGCCAGGAGGAGTTCACCGTGGACGGCGTGAGGACCAAGTTCTTCCACTGCCCGCTGGACCCGTGCATCTTCCAACTGCGCCGGATCGACGAACAAGGGAATGCCTTCGGTGAACCCTTAAGTTACCTTGCTGTCCATGTTGATGATGTCCTTTTGATAGGACCTCGCCAACTCTGCAAGGACCTCCGGAAGCGCATCTCCGAATTGTTTCCAGTTCAAGAATGGGACGAAGGAGCCTTCGACTACATCGGGTCGTATATCGAGGTGACGGATGGCGAGGTGCACGTCACCCAGACCGGGTACACGAACACGAGACTCTTCGAGATTCCCATCCGTCGTGGCCAACAAGGAGATGACCCCGCGACCATGGAGCAGAAGGCAGACAACAGGAGTTTGGTTGGAGCTCTGAGCTGGCTCGCGGGACAGACCCGCCCAGACCTCCAAACAGGAGTGTCGATGGCACAACAGCTCCAACGTGACCCTACGGTTGATGATATCAAGTTCAGCAACCAGCTTGCTAAGCGAGCTCAGGAGCACGACCACCGAGGAGTTGTTCTACGACCTGTGGATCTGGAACGTGCCGTGCTGTTAGCTTACCACGATGCTGGATGGGCCAATGCCCCCCAGGACTCCGAGGACCCCTTCTACGTGCTCTACCCCGAAGACGAGGAGGCAGGGAGGATTCGCGAAGGACCCTTCTCCCAAAAGGACAGACGAGCCAAGCGGAGCAACTCGAGGATTGCCTCACAGCTAGGAGGACTCTATCTGCTGACGGATAAGGACATCCTGCAGGGACAAAGAAGGAAAGTCAGTCTCCTCGACTGGCGGAGCGCGGCCTGTGACCGCGTCTGCAGGTCTACGTTTGCTGCAGAGTCCATGGGCTGCTGTGGAGCCATCGAGAATGCCGACTTCATCCGCAAGTTCCTATCCACTTTGCTTACCGGAGAACTCACCCGGAAGGAGGACGGTCGCTTTGAAGTCCGATACCTGAGCGATTGCCGCTCGTTGTACGATCACCTTGCTCGCGAAGGGATTCCAAGAATCCCTTCGGAACGGCGGTTAGCTATCGACATGGCAGCTATTCGCCAAGATTTAGCAATTTGTGGAAAGATTTGTTGGGTGCCAACCGATCAGCAATTCGCCGATATGATGACAAAGCCCCAACGGGCCGGCGACTGGTGGGAGACACTGATGGGAGCTTTGAGACTTCCTTTTGTAGAGAAACTTTAACCAGTGTCAATCCCTTGAGATCAGTCCGCCGGCAGGTCAAACGCTTCCGAATGTACGCAGGCACAAGTGTTCGAACCGATGGAAAGAAGGCCGGAGTGCTGCCTTGCTTGTAGTTTTAGATTTAGGCTTCAGGGATTTAGATCTAGGCTTCAGGTTGTAGGCTTCGTAGGGCAAATACTGGATGTCGGAACATGGGTGCTTATATAGGGGCCTAAATAATTCCCAATACTACTATTGATGCCCCTTATGATAACTATAATATAATGGGCCCCAAAACTCTATTCTACTTACAATAAAGCCCCTATATTATTGTTGACATACTCAAGGATAAGCAGACAGGATGGTTGCGGTATATTGGATCATACATATAAAGCGAACTTGTATAGCAAGTCTATATAAGGGGATGCTATCACTGTTGCTTTGGAGCCTAGAGTACTTGGTTGTGTTTCTGTAAACACAACTATTCAAGTTGATCCATGAAGCCGTGTGGAGATTCGGTTTAGGCCTGCGGATTCATCCGTGATTCCGGTTACCCTAGGCTGGGAGCTCTGAATCGCACCTTCTCCCGCCAATGCACGGCTTCGTTCGACAGGTAGATTCCTGCCAGGGATATGATGCTGGATCCATATGTTGCTGTTGTTCTCTTGTCAAACGCTCAGACTCTACGCTCAAAAACTCAAGACTTCACGACCGACGGAAGTCAGCACTTGATAATGCAGAGCATTGCACAAGGATGAACACATAAGCCCAAGAACCTTCTATTTCATATTCTCCTGGCACGGTTTGCAGTATCACACACCCTCAACCCCTAAATGTCCGACATCCCCGAATGGCCTTACCCCAAACCCAGCAAGACCCTATGAAACCGAATAGCCTCGACCCCACACCTGGACCCGAAGTCACAAAAAAAGGCTGCCAAACCCCGGAGCGAGGAGAGTTTCGAATCCCAGACCCCCGATCCGAACTTGAACCCTCATGCGCCCCTTTTTAGAGTGTATTACCCCTAACGCTAAACCCCTAAACAACCATAAATCGCAAACCCCTATAAACCCTAAACTGTATTTTGCATGGTTCAAGCTTTAGGCCTTCGTGTTTAGGGCCTATTGGGCCGGCCTTTTAGGCGTATAGCAGTTTAGAGTTCATGGGTTTAGGGCTTTAAGGTTTGGGGTTATGGTCTGAAGGTCTGCACATTGAAAGCTTTGCTTCATGACAACCAGAGCGCCGATCTTACCATCGGTCAGACTTCTTTGCCGAAGCTGCCTACCCTCGTTAAGACTCTAAACGAGTTGCATGACTCATGTATCAGCTTGCGGCGCATGAGTCACCGAAAGCTCGACCCTGACATCGATTCAAACCTCATACGTCTTGAGGAAGAAAAGTCCTAACTCTGGAAAGGCCCCCAAACCGTAAATCCTAAACCCCTAACTGGGTTGTAGTTTTGGGGCTCTGAAAATATTTATGAACGGTACCTCTATAGGAACCATACAGGGGAATTACAAAAAGTTTCCCAAATTGCCACCTAGCTAAACTCTGAACCCCGAAACATTAAGCAATAATTCCGCGAGGAGGGCCTCCAATCTCCTCCAACAGCCAGCTAAGCAACTCCAGCTGCCCAGTTCTTGCGGCTCGGAACAGCCCTTGGCCTGGTATACTCAGTAAGTAGGGTTTGGGGGTTTGGAGTTGGGGGTCTTGGGGCTTAGAGTCTAGGGGGTTTGGGGTTCAGGGCTTAGGGTTTAGGGTTTAGGGGTTTGGGGTCTGAAGAGTTGCAGTTTGATGGTGGGTGAGGGGTTTCAAGTGCGGCTGTGAAGCTTACTGTTTCCGGGGTTGGGGTTTGGGGACTTGCTGCCGCGAGTGGTTGTGAGTTAGGGGCGTTCAGGCCTGCAGGCTGCTGCCCTTGGTCTGAACCTTGAACAACTCATCCTCGCTCCATTCTCCTTGTGCATTTGGAAAAGCCACTGGCACTGATCTTGTTGTGCGATTCTTAATCTCCTTTGCCTTGTCGTAACGGCTTTCAAATCTACCTGATGAAAACTCAAGATAGCTCAGAGATGCTGCAACAGGGACAGTTGTAGCACTCCCATCAGGCATGGTTACTGTTTTCCTCAGAATCTCGGTGCAGCGTTTAAGCTTCTTGATATAGCCATGGTGGCCATCTGCTCCATGGCATCAGCTGCGTACGAACAATGCAGCCAATTCAACGCTCCTTTTCGAGCATATTGCCATTAGCCCAACTGAAAGGAACTTCTGCAAGTTCATCTTCTCAACCCAGCAATCCGCCAGATGCATCAAATCTTTCCCAGCATCCCTTCTCAGGTGATAGTCCCTATTAACCAAGCCAGTCATACCTTCAATGCTCATCGGAGATTAAGGAGTCCCCCCTTGTTCCCGCCTGGGTTCGTCGTACTACAATACCGACTGTGCTGGAGAACTAGAAAGAACTAGGGTCTAAGGGTTTTGGGCTTACGGCTCAGGGTTTAGCACTTGTGCTTGGACCTAGGGAGACGTATTGCATGATGCAAACACGTCTTTGCACTTTCTGGTACCCCAGGCCCCCGCCATACCGAAAAACACGCATTCCCTTCCCTTCTTTCCTGTTGTTCAAGTGAGCACACGAAATCGGCGCCTCCAAAAGCGCTTCAATACGGTAGCCCTGTAGCCCAAGCAGAAAACGAGAGGGGTACATGGACCCTGAGGGATCCTGAGGGCAGCAATGAAGCCATAATCATTACACCAGCGTGTTGATGCTGTTCTACTAGCGAAAATAGTGGTGAACCTCGAGGTATATGTGCGATTCCTTATAAGTTCAACCTCTTTGCGTTCAAAGCCTAGACCCTGTAACCCGATATAACACAAACAACCCAGCAACCCCTTACAAAAACCCTAAACTGTAAACCCCTAAGCCCGCACAGAAGGAACATTTTAATCTTACGCCCCTTCTCTGAGGGACTCTGAACCCTTATAACCTAAAACTCTATCACCCGGTGCGAATTTATAAAGCCCGAAACAAGCCTAACTAAACCGCAAGCATCCCTAAACCCTAAACCCAACCTGTAGGAATCACGTGTTCTACCCCTTCTCTAAGCCCTAAACCCTAAAACCCCAAACCCTTATAGTAGAAGCCAGAAAGTTGGAACATCATTGTCCTCATACCCTTATGGTAAAGTATAAAGGATCGTAGCACTAACCCTCCTAGAGCCATGTTCCAACTTTCTGGCTTCTACTATAATAAACCCCCCAAGCCCTAAACCCTAAACCCCAAACCCTAAACCTCAAACCCTAAACACTAAACCCCAAGCCCCAAACCCTAAACCCCAAACCCTAAACCCCAAAAGATCTGAAGGCCCAAACCCTAAATCCCAAGCCCTAAACCCCAAACCCTAAACCCCAAAACCCCAAACCCAAAAAATCTGAAGGCCCGGGCTTAAGACGTGTGCTCGCGCGAACCTCAGTCCGCCCCATCGCTCCAAGGCCTGCGGCTCGCAGGGCTTTTTATGGGCTTTACCTTAGAAGCTGCCCCCACCCTGTAATAGTGACTATAAGGATTATACATGTATATATATATATATATATAATTGTATTAGGGCCCTATTATATTCCTATTATACCACTATTACAGGGTGGGGTAAGGGTTCCCTTTAAAGGGGTCTATAAGGATTACTATAAGGAGTATTATAGGGGTGTTTAGTCTAGGTAAGGGTTCCCTGTAAAGGGGTCTATAAGGAATACTATAAGGGGTATTATAGGGGTGTTTAGTCTAGGTATAGTTCCCTTTAAAGGGTCTATAAGGATTACTATAAGAGGTACTACAGGGGTGTTTAGTCTAGGTTCCTGCAACATAGGGGCTCCATAGTAGTTCCTTTTTGGGGCTCATGTTTAGAATTCTATGAGGTAATCCCAAAACGGAACTACTGCGGGGCCTATGGGTGTGTATTAAGGGTCTCAGGGTTTTAGGGGCTTTGGGGAATTAGGGTCGCAGGGTTTTATGGACTTTAGGCATCAAGGGTCTCAGGGTTTTTAATTTATGGGGTTTGGGGAATCAGGGTGGTGGGGTTTTGTGGGCTTTAGGCATTTCGGGCTTCAGGGTTCTTATGGGTTTTGGGGATTTGAGGGCTGTAGGGTAAGGGGTTTAGGGTTTTGTGGGTTTGAAGGTGTAGGGTTTAGGGTTTCGTGTCTTGGGTTTTGTTAAGGGTTTTACTACCCGAAAGCACCCTAATAAGCCTGAAGGAAGAGTGCCGTGGTGATTCTGGAGCTAGAGGGATTCATCCTCCAGTGTTGAATGCAATGTAAAGGGGGTTTCCGGAAATAGGGGACCCTAGTATAGTACCCTAAGTAGTAGGATCCTTATTATAAGGACCCAACATAAGGTTCCCCCGAATTTTTGGAAACTCCCATATGGCTCGGTCCAAGAGGCATCGGGCTCCCGAAGCTCTGAACCCGTAAAGAAGCTCGTGACGCACTCATAACTTGTTTTCCGAACTATGGTATGTGCATGAGGGATCATTTGGAGTCTTAGAGATCTCACATTTCGGGTGTTGTCTGGGAATATATACAAGTAGAAGGCCCCACCCCACATCCTGTTTTCCCCCTTGAAGCCAACAAGGGAAACATATAAAATGCAATATATAGGGGCCTTAATCACTAGAATAGGGTTTAGGGGCCCATTACACTAAAATTAGAATAAGGAACCCCAAAATAGCATATAGATAATTATTAAGGCCACTATAGCATCCACAGGCCTACCTACGATCGGCTGGCCTGGACGTTGCCCTGGCGCAACAGGTGGGCCCTTGGCACGCACTGGCGGAGGGCTCAGGGCCGATTAGACGGACGAACATTTTGTAGCACAGGCCTTGAGGGACTTATAAGGAATCGACTATGTAGGTTGTGTGGAAAGCCCTACGTAGTTTAATCCTAAATGTTTCGGGAATAGATGGACTGCGGGGCAAAACGATAGGTAAGTCTTAGGCGCATATGTTAAGAGGACTGCTGAATACATCTCC